AAGGAATGATTCTTCCCTACAACCTTCGCAGGGAGCATGGCTCTGCTAACACCTTCTTTCCAACGCCTCCCCAACTGTGAGAGAATAATTTTCTGTTGTTTTAAACCACAAAGTACTCGTCTGTGGCACTTTATTACAGTAGCCCTAGGAAACTAGTACTGCTAACGTCTTGTGCCAAGAAGTTAAGAAAATGCTCAATGATGGGGACATAACAAAAAGGACATAGAAGCCATCTTGAAAAAGCTCCAAGTGGCCAAAAAAATGCTTTTAATGAATTATACCTCACTGAATAAAAGAGAAATCCATGAGTCTATACCAATATAAATACAGGAACCATCTTGAAGGTACTCCCAGTAGACAAAAAGATAATGATCTTAATGGATTATATCCCACTGAATAAAAATCTGAGTCTAAATTGATATAAATACATGAATGTTGAGTGAGGCAATCTATCATGAGCCCTGAGTGTCCCTACTCATTCTGGTTCAATAGACCAGGCCCTGACCATTCTTTACCTGGGCCATTTCTTCCTGTGTATGCAGGAAGCCATCTTCAGGGATGAGGTTATGTATCTCCATCCCCTGACAACAATCAGATTTGCTTCCCTGCTAAAAAAGTGGTCAATCCCCATAGCTCAGTGCTCCTTCCCTAGAGCACAATACACTGCATATGTAAGAATTCAGCTAGGACCACCTGCGTCATCCCTGTGGGATTTGAGGGACACAAAATAATCAATGCAAACCAAATGAAGTTGATACAGTTTGCGATGCCATGAATAATAAAGTCCTTTGGCTCTGACCCAAGAGTCTTATGCTTTCTGCCAGCATCTAAGAAACAGTAACAGGCTAACTGACCAGCTTCCAGGTAAAATCTCAGACCTTTCACAGTTCTTGACAATGAATAAATTTTAAAAATGGGAGGAAAGTTCTCGACAATGAATAAATGGGCAGAAAGGGAAAGTCCATCCTTACAGTGGAATGCTAAATAACAAATGAAGGCAAAATTATGGAGTTAAAAAATAATAATTCACAAATATTAAAACTAGTGGGTGAAATCTGACTAGGAAAAGGATATTTACATAGTCTCAAACTGTTTCCCCACAAAGTACTCATTAATTAATTACAAAAGGAATTAACTTTCCATTAATCACAAAGGGAAAAATAGGAACGTCACAGTAGAGAAGTCTGGCAGACATCACCTTTCCCAAGTGATCAAAGTTAACATCCCAGTATTGGGACAAACATATATCATGTACCTCCTGGTATGATGTACTGAGGAGGACACAACTGCGTGCTATTCTTCCTAAAAATGTATAATCTAACTGTAATTATAAGGAAACATCAGGCAAACCCAAAATAAGGGACATTCTACAAAACAACTGGCCTGTAATCTGCAAAAGTATCATGGGCAAGAAAGGGAAAAAAATGGCTGAGAAACTGCTCCATTAGAGGAGACTAAAGATACATGACAATTAAATACGACGCATGACCCTGCATTAGAAGATGGATCAGCATTTGAAGAATAACTTTGAAGGGCATTATTAAGGACATTATCATTATAACGATAAATTCGAATATGGACTATAGACTTGACAATACTAAATCAATGTTAAAATTCCTCATTTTGATCATTATAGTATACTTATACAGTAGCCTTCCTTTATCCACACTTTCCATGGTTTCAATTACCCACTGCCAATCCAAAATATTAAGTGGTGCAATCACAGCTGACTGCAACCCTGAACTCCTGTGTTCAATGGATCCTCCCACCTCGTCTCCCAGGTAGCTGAGACTACAGGCGCACACCACCGTGCCTGGCTAATTTTTTTGTTTTTGTTTTAAATAGAGATGGGGTCTTGCTTTGTTGCCCAGGCTGCTCTCAAACTCCTTGCCTCAAGTGATTCTCCTGCCTCAGTCTCCCTAAGTGTTGGAATTATAGGAGTGAGCCACCACACCTGGCCTTAGCTGGCTAATTTTAGGTAAGTTACTAAATCTCTCTGTGCCTGGATTTCCTCATTTTTAAAATGTAGATTATAGTAGTTTCTAACTGTGAAGACTTTTTGTGAAGATATCAAAAGACAATACATGTAAAGAACGCAGCACATTCAGGCCAGGTGCAGTGGTTCACGCCGGTAATCCCAGCTATTCAGGAGGCTGAGGCAGAAGAATTGTTTGAACCTGGGAGGTGGAGGTTGCAGTAAGCTGAGATTGTGCCACTGCCCTCCAGCCTGGGTGATAGAGATTCCATCTCAAAAAAAAAAAAAGAACTCAGCACATTCAGAATGAGTGTTGTTCTTATTATTTTTTTTTTAGAATATCAAAAGAAAATTTTTAACCTAAAAGATAATGAACTAAATGACAAGTCTCTTCTGAGATGGAGGTTATGATCTGCCTCCCAACAGTTTAAAAGACAAAAAAAAAAAAAGCTATGAGTCAAAGGGGACCAGCTTAGAGTGTTTGAACTAAAAACTAAAATGTAAATAAAACATAAAATTCCTCCTTACAACTGGATTCCAATGTTAAAATACTTTTAGAATAATGTTAAATATATCTTAATGTTATTCAATGTATTAAATAATATATTAATTTTTTTAAGTTTATTATTTAACGTATTAAATAATTAATTAAAGAATATGAAAGTGCCTTTGGTTCTGCTTGGTTTACTCAAGTATATGCTCAATAGGTTAGATTTAGACACTTTTAAAAAGCATTCTTAACACCTGTTTGGAATCTGCAAGCCTTTTTTTTTGAGACAGAGTCTTGCTCTTGTCCAGGCTGGAGTGCAATGGCACACCTCGGCTCACTGCAACTTCTGCCTCCCGAGTTCAAGCGATTCTCCTGCCTCAGCCTCCCGAGTAGTTGGGACTACAGGCGCCTGCCACCATGGCTGGCTAATTTTTGCATTTTTTAGTAGAGACAGGGTTTCACCATGTTGGTCAGGCTGGTCTCGAACTCCTGACCTCAGATCATCCACCCACCTCAGCCTCCCAAAGTATTGGGATTACAGGTGTGAGCCACTGCGCCTGGCCTGCAAGCATTTTAAGAGTAACAGTTAACGAAATTTTACTAAAGTACTGAAGGTAAGAAATCATAAATTCTGTCATTTATCAGAATTCATAAACTCAAATGCCTTCATAGGCCAAGCATCAGCAATAGTGTTGTATAAATCAACAGGGAAGGATGAGAACACAGTGACTGGACCTGAAAAATACTCTGCCTAAAGGCACTCATATTCAAGTTTTGTTTCATTTTTAAAATTGTGTAACAGTTGTTTAGGCTGAGTTTAGCTCAGGGGGCACCTGTTTTGACCACTGATTTTCAGATTTTAAGCCCTCAGAACCTTGAGATATATACTTGTATGCATATTTGGTCTTATAAAAAATAGAAAATTTCTGAAAATGAAGACTCATGCACATCAGAAACATAAGGAAATTTCTCATGCCTATAATCCCAGCACTTTGGGAGGCCGAGGCGGGTGGATCACATGAGGTCAGGAGTTCAAGACCAGCCTGGCCAACATGGCAAAACCCTATCTCTACTAAAAAAAAAAAAAAAAATTTTTAATAAAAAAATTAGTCAGGTGTAGTGGTGCACACCTGTAGTCCCAGAGGCTGAAGTGGGAGAATCACTTGAACCTGGGAGGTGGAGGTTATATTGAGCCAAGATCCTACCACTGTGTTCCCCAGCCTGGCTGATAGAGAGAAACCCTATCTCAAAAAAAAAAAAAAGAAGGAAATTTTTCAATGACTTCTAAAAGGCAGTCATATTATTAAAGATATCCAAAGTTGGTTATCTCTTCCACTTTGTACTCTTAAGATACATTTTTAATATGTCATAATATATAATCTTTTAAAGTTCCTAACAAGTCTGAGATTTTTAAGATTCCATGATTAATGGAACAAATTCCTTCATACCAGTAACAACTATGTACCCATGTAATTATTACAAAAACATTGAAAATTGTTTAATTCATTAACTGCTAAAATATTTGGCCTAATTGTTTTTATTGAAAAAAATTCAATTTGCATGTTTTACGTGGTACAATGCAACCTCTATCTCACTGAAATACCTGTTAATCATTTAACAATATTCTTAAATAGTGACCTCACCTTTATTAAATTTTTTCTAGATGTTCTCCAATAAGTATATGAGAAAAACAGGGTATATTTAAGTGAACAATATCTAATGCTTCCAAAGTCCAAAGCAATCTCTTTTCCTGCTGGATTCCCTAACATTTACATTATTATCATTTTATACTATTAAAGATTATATATATTGATATGTTTTACCTTCTCTATTACACTTTAAACTATACAATGGCAGAAATCATGTCTTATTTATCTTTTATCCTTAATAAGAAGCATTTTGCCCTTGCATAAAAGGTGATCATAAAAAAGAAATCCAAGAGTAACATTTTTTCCAGCATGATAATCTCAAGTTAAACTCTTTCCAATTCTTATGTAATTCAAATTCTTCTGCTTTCAAAAACTCTGCAACTCAGAGAAGTTCTCAGCATCAGTAGCTGGTTATGTTACTATTTAAGTATTATTAATTTTTTTTTATTTTTCTGAGACAGAGTCTCACAGTGTTGCCCAGGCTGGAGTGCAGTGGCCCGATTTTGGCTCACTGCAGCCTTAGCCTCCCAGGTTCAATCAATTCTCCTGCCTCAGCTTCCAGAGTAGCTGGGATTACAAGTGTGTACCACCACATCTGGCTAATTTTTGTATTTTTAGTAGAGACAAGGTTTCACCATGTTGGCCAGGCCAGTCTTGAACCTCAGGTGAACCACCTGGCTTGGCCTCCCAGAGTGCTGGGATTACAGGTGTGAGCCACACCTGGCCAGCAATTATTTTATTAGATAAATATTACAATAACTTTATAATATTTCAAGAAAGTAAAACTTTAAGCATGTTGCTTAAAACTAAGCTTAGTTTTAGATATTTATTTCAGAGAAGGATCGTAAGTTTTTGGAAAGTATTATTTATAATCATTAAGTCTTACCTGAGGATTCCAACCTGGATCTAGTTTTTTAACTACTGCAATATATTCCTGCATTGCTTGGCTGGGGCTTGAATCACCAAGTGCTTTCCATGCTTCCCTACAATATGGAATATCCAAAATGGCCTGTCATTATGCAAATAACATAAATAGCATTTTTCTTATTATTATTAAAAAAAATTGCACGCACATTTCAAGGGTCTCGGAATATAGAGATAATAAGTTATGGATACAGAAGTTCTGTCTTTTTGCATTAACGTTTGTCTAGAGCTATACAAACCTTATTGCCCTACCTAAGAAGTCTTTTCAGACATTTTTTTTTTTCCTAATCACCCTCCCCTATGAAATTTTAAAAACACAGATACACTGCATATCTATTAAATTTTGGAAAACCACAAATCACTGTAATCTAAGATTTTATAACTTCCTCAAACCAATTTTCACCCCTATTGCAGATGTATGCTCCACAGACTAATACAGATTATTCTCATAAATTAACTGTGCTTATGGGATTTTGGTCATACAGAAACTAATCATCACATAGAAAACAATATTCCCAAGGAAAATGCATCAAACTTCTTACTAAGATACAAGAAATCCACCTTCCCTTTCTGCTCTTACCTCATCTATAAGTTACTAACTGATCCTGGGAACTCAGTCTGGGACTTTAAAAGTCAGGGATGGTGAGGGCAGAAACAAGAACACTGGCCAGGCGCGGTGGCTCATGCCTGTAATCCCAGCACTTTGGGAGGCCGAGGCAGGTAGAACGCCTGAGGTCAGGAGTTTGAGACCAGCCTGGCCAACATGGTAAAACCCCATCTCTACTAAAAATACAAAAATTAGCCGGGCATGGTGGTGTGCGCCTGTAGTCCAGCTACTCTGGAGGCCGAGGCAGGAGAACTGCTTGAACCTGGGAAGCAGAGGTTGCAGTAAGCTGAGATGGCACCACTGCACTCCAGCCTGGGCAACAGAGCAAAATTCTGTTTCAAAAAAAAAAAAGCAAAAAGCAAAAACAACAACTAAAGAATATTAATAAGTAAGTTAGGGACTTCCTACAATATAAATGGCAAAAGCAACATTTTAGTCCTGAGCTTCCTTTTGAATCATTTTTTTTTTTCCCACCCTCTGCAGGCTGCCAGGACAGGCCTCCTTCTTGGTTTTTCCCTGCCAATTCTTTCTAATTCCAACGAGGGTTTCTCGATTTCCCTGATTTGCTGTCAAAAAGAACTCAATCCCACATTTTTTTTCACTACCTTCCTGCTTCTATGATGAATATAACATCTTTCTGAGGTTTTCTAAATTTATTTTCACTGAATTCCTTGAGAATTACTTGTATGTATCATAACACTTCATCCCTTAATAGATCAGCCTACACAAACTCAGGAAATTTATCAATACTATTATATAATATAGAGGCTATAATTCAGATTTTCCTGATTGTCCCAATAATGTCCTTTATGGCTTTCTTCTCCCACACCAGGAACCAATCAAGATCCACACACAGGATTGAGTTTCATGTATTGTCAGCCTTTTTGTCTTCCATATTGTTGGTATTTTTTAAGAGTCCAACTGTTTTATAAAATATCTCCCAATTTGAATTTGTCTAATTGTTTCCTTACCTACATAGTGTTCTTGCCAGAAATGATTAATCATAATTAGAATTGGGTTAAATTATTTCAGCAGAGTAATATATAGGTGACATGCCCTTTTCAACGCATCACACTGGGGACACGTGATGTCAGTCTGCCCTATCATCAATAAGATTCATGGCTTGGTAACGGCAGTATCTGTCAGGTTTCTCCCTCATAATTAAAAAGTAAATGGTGGGTCAGCCTGTAACCCATGGTTTTGCTCCCCAATAGTTTTTCACCTAGCATTTTAACAACAGTTTTCCTCAATAGTTTTTTCTCCAATAGTTCCAGAATATTTTGTCATCTAATATTTTATCATTTGTTGCTGTTCTTGCCTAAACAATTATTATGGTGGCTATAAAATCTAAATTTTTTTAATTGCTAAAAACAATGGCGAAACAGGCAAAGCACGGAAAAAAAATGAAGCTATAAAATTTCATAAATTATGACCAAAAACTCATCGTAAACGTTAACATCAGGTATTCTTTAGAACAGTAATAAAATGCCAGAGAACTGTTGGTTATCATCAACCAAAAAACTTGTGCAAAAATATAATCAATGCACTGCTTCCTTCACTGAGACTGTCCTATATAAAAAAAAATCAGCTGAACTAAACAGTGTGGGTAGTGACATAAGTGATTTACATCTGGGTTCAAGCTCTGTACCTCCTTACAGCTGGGTAACAAACAGTTGGCAGGCAGGAAATGTATCCAGGGGACCAGATTTTATGTGGGACTGCTCTAGAATATAAAGTCAGAACCCATATTTTATCACTTCCTCTCTCTATAACCATATTTTATCGTTTTTTCTTTTTTAACTCTACCTTCTAACCTTCTTTTAATTTCAGGGCTGATGCTCCAAAGCCTTCCCTTCTATAACTAAGATTCCCAGTTGTATGCAATTTCTTTTTTCACTTCGACAAGGTAAAAGAAGACAAGGTCTCATAAATGACAAGAGGGAACTTCTGGATTATAAGTTTAAAAAGTTTGCAAAAGTATACTCTTTTTTTATGTATTCAGAGAAAAAGAGAAGTTAGTATCTGGTTTTGGCTTTCACTGAACTTTTCCCTTCTTCCCAAGAGTACTGTAAGCTGTTATTTACCGTGGGCATGGGTGGGGCAAGGAACACAAGAGTAGCAAGAGACAGGGAGATGAAACTGGGACAGGGAAGAAGGATGAAAAATGGAGATTTATCCTGCTGTTCGGCCCTTCCCATCATTCTGGCCTTCTTCCAAAAATCCCTCCAGAGGGGAGAAGTGGATAGGGGAGAAGTGGTGATCCATTAGGGGCTGAATGACAGGAAAGGAAAATCTCAAGCAATAGCTCTCATGGTTACTCTCTTACGTATTAAAATGTGAGGCATGTATGTCTGTTGTGAACCACTTATATTCCAACATGCTAGCATAAGAATCCTTCAGGAGACTTAGCTAAAAGTAGATTTCTTTAATCTCTCTCCCAATTGCCTGTCATTAGTACAGTCTACAGCAGAGAGAGATTAATATAAAAATAATTCTTTAATCAGCTCACTGCTTTCTAATTCCTAAACACCTAAACCATTTCCAATAACCTCATTAAAGATTCCAAGAATTTCTTACCATTTTTGCTTTCCTTCAAAATCAAAGAAGCTTGGTTTAGGAGTATTGCAATTTCCAACTTTGACCTAAATGAGGGAAGGAAAATCAAGAACTTATTTTTCAAAGAAACGTCTGGGAAACTTTTCCTTTTCAAATGTATTATGTATATTTAGTAACCATAGGTTGGAAAATATTTGCACCTACATGGAATAACAAAATTTAACATTCTTTGCAAAAGCAAACAAAAAACCCAAACAGAATCAAACATTGCATACAGGCTACTTTGGCTTACTGCATAAAACAACTATTATCTAATATTGTAATACAGAAAAACTGTGATAAATTGTTGCATTTCGAAGTCAGTAGACTATTTACATAAGACAAGTTATCAATATACATTATACACTCTTTATTACCATGTATAAAGAATTTTTTAACACAGAATTAATAAGGTTTAGAATTTATAATTTATCAGAATTCATAACACTATTTCTTCATGCTGATTCTCATAACTCTATTAGCATTTTATCTCTCCAAAATTTCAGGGGAAAAAGTGTACTACTTTTAAAATGCCCTATTAAGAAACTCATCAATATAAATTTGGATGCCAAAAGCCATGCAAAAAAATTTCAGGGGTTCTCAACAATACAATTCTATTTTTCTCCAACAGTCTTATCATCTTTTGTTTGTGGTCAATACTTAATTTTAATCTGCAAATGACATTTGTAGTTAAACTGTACAGTGAATATTTTCATTGAGAATAAGCATAAATGAAATTCACACAAGTGCAGAATTCACTATACAGGCCCTGATTCCCACTGCCAGAAGTCATCTTCCTTCCTTATGAACTCTTAGAGCATTTATTCTATGTATCTTTTATGGTACTTTTCACTTTTTCTACCATGTATTAGAAAGTTTTGTGTAAAGTCTCATCTTTCTATTAGAATAGAGCCTGTAACTGTTCTTAACTCATCCACAGCACCTATCTACTTCTCAGGGATTTTCCCACTATCTCCCATTACTCTTCCACACTTGAATTCTGGTAAAATCTAACTGATGCCTTCATCTAACCAGAATGATCTATTGACTGCCTTAGGGATTCCTAGTTCAGGGTTTTGCTTGTCACTCCACTCACCTGAAACGCCTTTTCTTCTTTCCTCAACTTTTAAGATGCTGCACGACCTTCCAGTTCTACTCAAATTTCAGATTCTAAGAACTCTTTCAGTCTACAATGATCTCATCTACCTCTGAATTCATAACAATTACCACCCCTATCATTTGCTTAGCAATTAATCACATGGCCCTCTGCTGTTATTAAAATGTATACTTACATAGAAGCAGCCCTGTTATGATGGAACAGAAAGAAGAAAGGGTAAGAAGGAGCCACATTTCTTGAACAATCACCATAGACCAAACACTTCACATATTTTATCTCGAATGGGTCAAAAAATAATCCTGCTAGGTATGCCATTACAAACTCATTTTATAAATGAAGATAGAGAAGCTCAGGAGGGTTGTCTCAGTTCACACATTAGTATATTCTTGAATTCATAGTCTGGATTTAAATCCAAGAGTGTTTGACTCCAAAGTTCAATACCCCTTTACTACATTATTCTGTCTTAAATGATAAATAGAGTCTGGGATTCAATTCTGGACTCTCTAAAATCACATGAACTACCAGACGGTTAGAAATATTAAATGAGATAAATTATACAAACTTCAAGACGTCATAAAAATAGCAGTTATAACTATTTTTGTTTTTTTATCCAGACACCCTCCAGTGGCAGAAACAAATGCCAAGAGTTCTCCTCCACTTCTCCTGTAGTAACAGAAGTCTCAGCTGGACACATGATCGTCCAGCTAAACATTACACATGGCCATCCAACTTCTGCCTAGGTTCTGGGAACTGGATGTGTGGAAAAGTGATACAAATACCTTCCTTAAAAAGAAAAGGAGTTTGTCTTCCCCTTTCCCTTTGCCCTGGATATGAGATACATGTGGTGATGGTAAGCCACCTCTGACCATGAAAAAGGAACTTAGGGCAGCAGTTTTCAAATTTTTTAGTCTTATAATCCCTTTATATTCTCAAGATCCTAAAGAGCCATCATTTATATGAGTTATCTCTATCAATATTTACCATATTAGAAATTAAAACTGGGACATTTAAAAAATGTGTGTTAGCTCATTTAAAAATAATAAATCCATTAGATGTTAACATAAATAATATTTTATGCAAAATAACTACATATTCTAAAAAAAATTAGTGAGAAAAGTAGCACTATTTTACATTTCTTAAATTTTTTAATGTCTCGCTTAGAAGCCAGTTGCATTTGCATATCTACTGCTGCATCCAATCTACTGCAATATGTTGTTTTGGTTGAAGTATATGAAGAAAATTCAGCTTCACGCAGATATGTTGTTAGAAAAGAGAGAAGTATTTTAGCAGCATTTTGAGATAGTTGTAGATATTCTTCTTTGATACTATGCCAAAACCTAACAGATGGTGGTTTCAGGTCAGTTGCAATGAGGAATCTGAACTCATATCAATGAATTTTTCATACTGTTAACACTGAAATCCATTGGTCTGACTTGCACTTTGAAAGGCATCTTTTATCAACACATGATTTGTAACATCATTCCATGAAATATTTAGAAAATATGGTTTACTGAGTTACACAGACTTTTCAAATGTTGACACATTTCATGATATAATAGCAAACGTTCACATTCATGACTGTCACCACTTATCTCATCAAAAAAAGTTTTTAAGTACTGGGAAGCTGTCAAGCTCATGGTGGCAGATACAGATTTTTCAAACTTCTCATTTTCACTTGAAAGCTCAAATGTTATTACTGGCAACAAATACTTTGAGTTGTTTTCCTTGAAGTGACAGGCTTACTTCATTCATTTTCAAGAAACTACCTGCCAAATACCCAAATTTGAGTAGGTATAATTATCTGTGAGTTGTTCTGTTAAGTAAAAATGGAAAAAAGTATATAGTTCATTTTGCAACTCAGAAATTACACAAGTGCTTTTCCTCAAAATAGTTAACATAATTCAGTATGCAGCAGAAGTACTTTGTGTGTACTTCCCATCTCATCACACAAAATTTAAGACTTGACTCAAGGGTTAATATTTAATAAAGTAGTATTAAGGCTGGGCGGTTCATGTCTGTAATATTAGCACTTTCGAAGGCCTAGGTGGGCGGATCACCTGAGATCAGGAGACCAGCCTGGTCAACCATGGCCAACATGGTGAAACCCCATCTCCACTAAAAATACAAAAATTAGTCGGGCGCGGTGAGAGACACCTGTAATCACAGCTACCCAGGAAGCTGAGGCAAGAGAATCATTTGAACCTAGGATGCGGAAGTTGCAGTGAGCCCAGATCACGCCACTGCATTCCAGCCTGGATGACAGACAAAAACTCCATCTCAAAAAAAAAAAAAGTATTATTAAATAGTATCTCATGAAGTCAACAGGAATTCACAAATTTTCATTACTCTCCAGTTTTCACAACTGTCAATTAGCTATCTTTAGGAGGGAGAGCGTAGGCTGATGTAGAGAGCGACCAAAAAACTGTTCATTCATTTGATTTTGTTGAAACTTTATTGAAAGATTATTTTGAAGCCATAGGCTTATCTGAGACTAATAAAGCTATGACGCTAAGTAAATTTAGAGTTCTCCCTGAGAAAATAAGGTTCATATCTTAGCTTATTTATTATCTTCCTGCCAACAACCTCATCCAGCCTACAAAATATGCTGCTATTCTGAATACAAAATGTTATTTTATGATAAATTTTGACACAATATGCAGAAATGATATTGGGCTTTCAACTTTATTATTCTATCAAAGATGCTATTCTTAATGTTATCTCAGAATTTTGTCAAAAATAAAATATTTAGGAGACTGATGAAAACTGTGGCCCAGTGTCGTATCTAAGCAAGCATATTATTTCCTAATAATGCAGAATTTTATTTGCAGATACAGAATATCTCTACACACCCTAAAGTCAAGTTCTTGAAAGGATGAGGCACATTCCTCCTTCATATTATCTGAATGAAGTTAGTATACCTGAGACAGAATGGTTCCCAAGTTGACAGGTGACTACAGTTCACTCATGACTTAGAAATAGAATATTGAATAATGACGACACCGACATCAATAAATAAAGATATGTCCTAGAAGAAAAAAGAATATTTTCTAGGGAATTTGGGGAAAGTTAGTCTCATACTGCCCAGAGAATCATCAGACATATTACAGGTCCTAATACGATTCTCGGTAAGTATTTGTTAAATAATCAAAAGTTTCACTCTAATGTTATTAGGACAAAGTATAATAAACGACCAAAGAGAAAACAGATATCAAGAACTTTTCCCAGAAAGTTAATTCCAAGTCCAACTTGGAGGTAATTTTCATTCAGCACTATAATTTATACCATTTGTTCCTACGGCTTTATCTCTCAGGTCAATGTTTAACTGACATTCATAATAATGAACATCAACCTTTAAAACAAGGTTCATCTCTACTTAGTATATCCAGTTTAAGAACACAGTGGGGCTGGGCATGGGGGATCATGTCTGTAATAACAGTACTTCGGGAGGCTTAAGCAGGAGGATCGCTTGAAGCCAGAAGCTCAAGGCTGCAGTGAGCTATGAGTGTGTAACTGCCCTCCAGCTTGAGCAACGGAACAAGATCCCATCTCTAAAAAAAATTTTTTAGTTAAAAAAAAAAAAGGAATACAGCAGGCCTCTTCCCCCAACTTATTTTTCCTTTAACAAATACAGGGGAAAATATGTAACTATGTCAAGAGGCAAAAAGAAAAAAAGGTTACACATTTTTAATAAAACAAAATAGGCTATTATCCAGAATTTTCATTTCCTCCAGTGTTCCAAAGAGCTGTAATTTTCCTGAACTGTTATTTAACTCTTGTCAGCAATTTTTCAGGTGTGTTCAAACCTAGATTCCTCAAGTACTTTGTAAGTCTCTTAAAAGCAAATGTCGGCCGGGCACGGTGGCTCACGCCTGTAATCCCAGTACTTTAGGAAGCCAAGGCAGGCAGATCACCTGAGGTCAGGAGTTCAAGACCAGCCTGGTGAACATAATGAAACCCTGTCTCTTCTAAATATACAAAAAATTAGCCGGGCATGGTGGCGGGCACCTGTAATCCCAGCTACTTGGGAAGCTGGGACAGGAGAATTGCTTGAATCGGGGAGGCCAAGTGAGCCAAGATCTAGCCACTGCACTCCAGCCTGGGCAACAGAAACGAAACTCCATCTCAAAAAAAAAGCAAAAACAAGTGTCAGCCAGCAAAGTGGCTCATGCCTGTAATCCCAGCACTTTGGGCAGGTGGATCGCCTGAGCTCAGGAGTTCAAGACCAGCCTGGGAAATGTGGCAAAACCCAAACTCTCTGTGGAAAAAAAAAAAAAAAAAATTGTGAGTGTCATGTTTTTCCTTCTCTGCATTCTCTGTAGGCATTATATCCAAGTGTCTTGCACATAAAAGCTGCTGAACAAATATATGTTGCTTATGACAAAGCAATTATTTCCCTTCTGGTACCGAACTAATGTCAACCTGAATTATAAATTAACATGTCTATACATCTCCCTATTTCCAGGTAAAGTTCACAGCCTTAGACTGAGTCAGGAGCTACAATCCAGTTCTGACTGATATATCTGTATGACCCTAGGCAAGTTGCCTACTCTGTGGCCTTCAGTTTCCTTTTCTGTAAAAGAAGGGCATTATTTCATCTGGTGTTCATAGCTCTCAAATTTTTAGATTGTATCAAATGGAAAAGAAGACATATTCAACGAAAACATAAGTCAAAGATATTTAGGATTTTATAAAAATCACAAAAGTTGCAATACTGTATTTTGCATTGCATCACATTATTATTATTATTTTTTTTTTTTTTTTGAGGCGGAGTTTCGCTCTGGTTGCCCAGGCTAGAGTGCAATGGCGCGCGATCTCCGCTCACCGCAACCTCCGCCTCCCCGGTTCAAGAGATTCTCCTGCCTCAGCCTCCTGAGTAGCTGAGATTAGAGGCATGCGCCACCACGCCTGGGTAATTTAGTAGAGACGGGGTTTCTCCATGTTGGTCAGGCTGGTCTCGAACTCCTCACCTCAGGTGATCCGCCCGCCTCGGCCTCCCGAAGTGCTGGGATTACAGCCGTGAGCCACTGCGCCCAGCCCTGAATCACATTATTACAATCCTATTATATTCTTGGATCTCAATATAGTTTAATTAACTTTACCATATTTGGAAATGTGGCCCTTTGGAAAGAGTAAATGAATGATAAATCTTATTTTATCCTCATTTTGTAAAGGTTCTTAAGCTGGTAAAACGCAAGATCACTGAATAAGTCAGAGAAAAAAAACAGAAAAACAGTGTCCAGTGCCCAGCTAAATAAATATCACTCCTAGGAAAGCAAACATCTTTTCCACGTTCAGGATGATGCTCCATATCTTTCTCCCCCATCCACCCTTTCCCTGCTACTTTACCTGTTTGTACCTGGCATACAGGTACAAAAGCTGCTCCCTGCTGGCCACCTGAATTAGGCCTTGCAGGTGCGCGGCAGCCTTCTCAAACAGCTCGGCCAGGCAACTGGACTCCTCGATCTCAGGGCTATGGGGGAACTCCACCTCCCCGGAGTCGTCCCCTGAGCTCAGCTCTCCACCGCTGTCGCCGGTGGTGGCCCCCGCGGGCAGGAATGATGAAGCCATGTCTCCTTGCTCGCTCCGTCCCTCTGCGTCCGGTGTGTCCTCCTTGGATCGGGTGTAAGGCCGGCTTGAAGGCCTGGCCCACCAGTCTGGGTCCTGAGCCTGAGCTCCAGTCGGACCCAAGCTCAGTCGCGGCGCGCTCCCTCACGTAACCCTGCTCCCTGCCCGCTTCTACTCCCTGGGCGTGCAGAGCAGGCTCCCCGACCCTCTGCCGCTCTGCCCAGTCGACCTTGTCTCCTCCGGCTTCCCTCCGGCCAACGGCTCGCTAGTGCTCGCCTGAGGCCCCTCCAACGGAACGAGGGTCGAGGGCCAGGGAGGCGGGGGCGGGCGAGCGCGGGGCGCGGCTGGCTACTGGCCGTGGGGGCGGGGCGGCACGCGCGCCGGCGGCGTGAGCTTTTGTGGGGCCTGCTCTGGGCTGGCGGGGAAGCGTGGGAGACGCTACGCTGGACACCTTTCCCTGCCGGAGGAGAGGGAGTGTCGTCCGCTGTTCGGGAGTCTCTTAATCGTTTCGCTGAAATTAGCAGTCCCGAACTCCGGAGCCCGGCACTGGCATGGGCCCCCGGGGGTGGGGGGAAGGAGGCCGTCTATGTGGTAGTGTAGCGGTGAGAGCGGAGTCGCGGGAAACGCGGGACTGAGGACTAAGGTTCCGCCTGCCCCGGATTGTGCGCCTCAAGCGCCCCCAAACAGCCCTGCGCGCGAATCTGTTGCCTGCGCGTTGGGCTCTGTGTTGAATAATGGAAAACTGCAAGATGGGGCTGTCGCGCCCTACCGTGTGACTGATGAGTGAAATCACTCCTCTGCGTGTTTCGCTCTCCACACTTTCGGATTCCGCACCTCTCCGGGCCCTGATAATAGTGTTTGGGGGGTGCGGGGCGCGCCTTAGCCCAGTTCTCATGCCGAGCTGTGCATTTGACACTGTGGTTTGTAGACACTATGAAGTGAAACCGGAAGTACGCCCAGAGGAACGTACAGAACTATTTTTTTTTTTTTTTTTTTTGAGACGGAGTCTGGCTCTGTCACCCAGGCTGGAGTGCAGTGGCCAGATCTCTGCTCACCGCAAGCTCCGCCTCCCGGGTTTACGCCATTCTCCTGCCTCAGCCTCCCAAGTAGCTGGGACTACAGGCGCTGCCACCTCGCCCGGCTAGTTTTTTGTACTTTTTAGTAGAGACGGGGTTTCACCGTGTTAGCCAGGATGGCCTCGATCTCCTGACCTCGTGATCCGCCCGTCTCGGCCTCCCAAAGTGCTGGGATTACAGGCTTGAGCCACCGCGCCCGGCCTATTTTTTTTTAACTATAACATTATGAGTGGTTATGTCCTAAATGTTAAACACAACGCACTATATATTCATTTAGTACTCAAAACACTGTAATAAGCACTATAAAGGTACAAAGGAAGTGTTACAAATAGTGGTTATTGACTGGGATTAGGCTTGTGATAGGTGGACAGATGGCTGGACAGGATGAGGAATCTATGAGAGAAGGCAGGAAGGTGAGAAAGCTTGCATCAGGATTTCACAAACATTACTTAAGTCTGCAGAAAATTCCGCTGTTAGTGTCAGGCCTCTGAGCCCAAGCCAAGCCATCGCATCCCCTGTGACTTGCACGTATACGCCCAGATGGCCTGAAGTAACTGAAGAATCACAAAAGTGAAAATGCCCTGCCCCGCCTTAGCTGATGACATTCCACCACAAAAGAAGTGAAAATGGCCAGTCCTTGCCTTAAGCGATGACATTATCTTGTGCCTGGCTCACCCTGGCTCAAAAAGTTCCCCCACTGAGCACCTTGTGACCCCCACTCCTGCCCGCCAGAGAACAACCCCCCTTTGACTGGAATTTTCCTTTACTTACCCAAATCCTATAAAACGGCCCCACACTTATCTCCCTTCGCTGACTCTCTTTTCGGACTCAGCTCACCTGCACCCAGGTGAAATAAACAGCCATGTTGCTCATACAAAGCCTGTTTGGTGGTCTCTTCACACAGACGTGCATGACATTTAGTCCCTGCTGTCAAGGTGCCCACAATCCAGTCAAAGGGATGTTTAATGACCAAATTCTTGCGATTAAAAAGTGATTAAGAATAATGTATATAATGTATTGAGGACTTGATCCTTACAACGTAAGGTAGGTACTCTTATTTTAGACATAGAAAATCAGCATAGAGTGGTTAACTTGTCAAAGGATGCACAGCTAGCAAATGGAGGAGCAAGGAAAAAGAAGTTAGCCTGCATATGGGGTAATAATGGATGATGAACCCGAAGAGTAGACTGAAGGAGAGATAACATGGACTTTTATATCTTTCTGTTTCTCTAATTTTTATTAAAGTAAGAATTGAATATTAACTGCTTTTTTGGCATCTTTGGAGATTATCTGCTTTTCTCTAGTCTTCGAAAGGAATTATATTAACAATTTCTATTTTAATGAATTACATTAACAAAAATAAATTTGGGATTTAATGAATTATATAATAGCTAACATTGATATATTAATATGCATTAATTCAAAACCTCCTAGTTTTGAGCATTACTTCTGTTCCTGGAACTTTTTTAAAAAGTTATTTGTAGGTTCAGTTTGCTAATATTTTCATTATCTTTACATCTCCATTTAAAGATGTGATTAACCTATAGTTTTCCTTTTCTATACTTTCTCAATTTTGTGTCAAGGTAATAGAATCCTTGTAGAATGCATTTAGAAGTTTTCATCTTTTTCTGTATTCTGGAAGAGTTTACATAACTTGGGAAAGAGAGCAACCAGAATTGTTTTACACTGCTGGTGTGAGCATAAATTGATACAATCATTGTGGAAAAATGTTTGGCACTATCTACTAAAGCTGAGCATAAACATAGCAATTCGACTCCTCCCCAGTGGGAGTATATACATGGCATTCACCAAAGACATGTAGGAGAACATTCATAGCAGCACTATGAACTAATTCCTAATTGCTCCAAACTGGAAGCTCCCGAATGTCCATCAACACTAGAATGGATAAACTGTGGTGTGTTTACATGATTGGAACACTATTCATCAGTGAGAATGAACTAATTACAATGACACAGAACAACATGAATGAATCTCAAACATAAATGTTGAATTCAGGAGGCCTATACTCAAAACAGTACATATTATAGGTTTCTAGTCATAAAAAATTCAAAATCAGGCAAAACTAATCTGTGGTGTTAGACTCAGGATAGTGGGTAACCTCAGGGTTAGTGATCTGAAGGGCACATGAAGGAGACTTCTGGTATTTGGATATGTTGTTTCTTGCGCCAGACATTAGTACACTGATGTGTTTGTTCACTTTATGAAAATTCATTTGGCCGGGCTCAAGCCTGTAATCCCAGCACTTTGGGAGGCCAAGACGGGTGGATCACGAGGTCAGGAGATGGAGACCATCCTGGCTAACACGGTGAAACCCCGTCTCTACTAAAAAAATACAAAAAAACTAGCCTGGCGAGGTGGCGGTGCCTGTAGTCCCAGCTACTCGGGAGGCTGAGGCAGGAGAATGGCGGGAACCCAGGAGGCGGAGCTTGCAGTGAGCCGAGATTGAGCCACTGCACTCCAGCCTGGGCGACAGAGTGAGACTCCGTCTCAAAAAAAAAAAAAAAGAAAATTCATTTATAATTTATGTACTTTATGTATACATTTGAATGAAAAATTTATTATAAAAATAACGTGTAAGAAAGAAAAAGGAAAGGGTCCTTAACATTCAGAAGCTGACCGTCACTCACAGCTAGGCCTTGTTATTCTCCTATTGGATAGAAATAATCTCACAAAATAGCAACCGCAGGCAAGGTCACTCTGAAATCATGATACAATGATACAAAGCAAACCACTTCATTAAGCTTTTCTAAGCACAGACCAAAAGCTCACTTTACTGACTGCAAAACACAACATCTTTTTCTTGGCCCAAACAAATAACTACTACTACTTTACAAATTATAGCTTTATTCTCATGCTAGTCTCTTCTCTATAGGTAAGACTGAGATGCCCAAGATCTCAATCTTGTTATAGTGGGTAGGTAGTCAGGAATGAGCAGGGCAGGAGAGGGCTCCCCACCACACGCACATATCAGGAATGTCAGGCAACCTTCAGGTGATGGTCAAGCGGTTGTTAACTGTCTCACTAAAATAATAATTGATCACAGCTGGCACCAGGGACCAGCCATCTCCTGATAGAAAACACCTGAAACGAGTGATCAGCAGCTTCCCGATAAGATCTCAGGAGTGGGGTGAGTAGGCTCAAGCATGCGCATGCGGACTGAAGGAGTGGCCTGCCCCTCCACACCTGTGGGCCTTTCTCCTTAGGTGGAGCGAGAGACTTGAGAAAAGAAATGAGACACAGAGACAAAGTATGGAGAAAGAAAAAGTGGGCCCAGGGGACGGGCGCTCAGCACACAGAGGACCCGCGCGGGCACCGGTCTCCGAGTTCCCTCAGTATTTATTGATCATTATCTTTACCATCTCAGAAAACCAGAAGTGGCAGGATAGTAGGATCATAGTACAGAGTAGGTCAGCAGAAAGACTGAATAAAGAATGAATAAAGATCTCTGTGACATGAATAAGTTTAAGGAAAAGTGCTGTGCCTTGATATGCATATGCAAACATCTCCATAAACCTTTTTAGTGCATAAAGAGCAGCATTGCCACTAGCAAGTCCCACCTTCAGCCCTAAGGCGGTTTTCTCCTATCTCAGTAAATAGAACATACAATCGAGTTTTATACCCAGACATTCCATTGCCCAGGGATGGGCAGGAGACAGATGCTTTTCTCTATCTCAACTGCCCAGAGGCCTTCTTTCCTCTTATACTAATCCTCCTCAGCACAGACCCTTCATGGGTGTCAGGCTCGGGGACGATCAGGTCTTTCCCTTCCCACGAGGCCGTATTTCAGACTATCCCATGGGGAGAAACCTTGGACAATACCTAGTTTTCCTAGGCAGAGGTCCCTGCAACCTTTGGCACTGTACGTGTCCCTGGTTACTTGAGATTAAGAGAATGGTGATGACTTTTCACAAGCATGCTGCCTTCAGGCACTTGTTTAACAAAGCACACCCTGCACAGCCCCAAATCCATTAAACTTTGAGTCACCACAGCACATGTCTCTTGCAAGGACAGGGTTAGGGGTAGGGTCACAGATTAACAGCATCTCAAATACAGAACAAAATGGAGTCTCGTATGTCTACTTCCTTCTATATAGACACAGTAACAGTCTGATATCTCTTTCTTTTCCCCACACGGACAGCCAACCCCAAGGGAACAATAAGGGGAGAAGTAATGCAAGACACCAGAAGTAAGCCAATGTATAAAACCCCAAGGCCAGGCACACAGTAGCTCATGCCTGTAATCCCAGCACTTTGGGAGGCCGAGATGGGTGGATCATCCGAGGTCAGGAGTTTGAGACCAGACTGGCCAACATGGTGAAATCCTGTCTCTACTAAAAATACAAAAAAAAAAAAAAAAAAAAATCAGGAGGCTGAAGCATGAGAATCACTTGAACCTGGGAGGTGGAGGTTGCAAGCCAAGATGGCGCTACTACACTCCAGCCTAGGCAACAGAGCAAGAGTCTGTCTCAAAACAAACAAAAACAAACCGCAAGTCAAAATATCAAGCTGCGTACTTGTTTTCAAGTTGCCTGTTTGACTGTCTTCCAAGCATACTTTCCTTCGTTTCATTCCTGCTCTAACGCTTTTTAATAAACTTTCACT